ATTTGTTGCACAGTGACGATTTTGACACTTATTTTCTTACTCTTTAGGATTGGCTGCTGCACCTCTTTCTAGATTCCATGTCTTGCTCTGTTTTTCTGTATTTTCATTTTACTAGACATTATGTAATTTCATATGTGGGTGTTAATTTCCTTTTGTTAAAAAGGTAAAAATGCTATGCTCTTAAGTTTGCCTGCAGATTTGGCAGAGAAAGGAATTAATACTCCTTTAGTTTGTAGATGGGGACCTGGGAGATAGCTCAGTGGGAAAAGGTGCCTGCCTGTTGCCAAGCTGAGTTAGATCCCCAGAATCCACCTGGTAGAATGAGAGAACTGACTCCCAGGAATTGTCCTCTGCCCACATACATCATACACACATCCACACACGATATATAAATACAATGTAACAAAATTAAAAAAAAATTAGATTTATTATGCCGGGCATGGTGGTGCACGCCTTTAATCCCAGCACTCGGGAGGCAGAGGCAGATGGATCTTTGTGAGTTCAAGGCCAGCCTGGTCTACATAGTGAGTTCCAGGACAGCTGGGGCTACAGGATACCCTGTCTCAAAAAGACCAAAAAAAAAAAAAAATTTAGATTTATTTTTTGGAGACAGGGTCTCCCTGTAGCCCTAGCTGGTCTTGAACTCTCAGAGATCCGCCTGCCTCTGTCTCCCAAGTGCTGGGACTAAAGGCACTACCACATCCTGCTCTTGTCTCTTTCTAGTTGGTTGGTTGAATGTTAGAGTCACTGTCTTTGCTTTTCACTTTGTCTTACCTTTTTGGGAAAAGTTCTTGGCTTTGTCTCTCAGAGACAAATATTCAAGTCTTTTATTTTTTGTTTTTGTTTTTCATTTCTTCTTTCAAAGCATTCTATTACCATATAAACTTTTATATCACATAAAGATAAAAATTAGCCACATATATTTTATTTTAAGATTTATTTTATGTGTATGAGTGTTTTTTACACGGGCAGTGCCTACAGAGGCTGGAAGAGGGTGTTGGGACCCTTGGAACTGAACTTATAGTTGGTTGTTAGCTACCATATGCATGCTGGGAACCAAACCTGGATCCTCTGCAGGAGCAGTCAGTGCTCTTAATTGCTCAGCCATCTCTCCAGCCCCTAATTTCTTAAGTTTTGGAATAATCATTAAGTTTTGGAAATGATAGGTGTATAAGATAATTTTTTTCCCTTAATATCCTCCTGAATATTGAGTGAAAGATTCCTATAAATCAGGCCTTTTTCCCAACTTAATCAAAGCGCAGTCATACTTAAGTATTGAGTCATAATATTTAATACCAAGGTTAACATTGGGGCTGGAGAGATAGCTCAGTGGTTAAGAGCACACTGGCTGCTCTTGCAGAGGACCCATGTTTGGTTCCAGCACCCACATATTGGCTAATAACTGTTGTAACTCTAGTCCAGGGACTCCAATGCCTTCTTCTGACCTCTGCGGGTATTGCAGGACACAGGTGCACTTATACACATGCAGGCAATACATTCATACACATAAAATAAAAAATAATAAATAAGATATTTTAAAAAGAAGTTAACATTGGTTTATTATCTATATAAACTCAGGGTTTGTTTATTCAGTGTGCATTCTGTTAATTTCATTATCTTGATGCTGAAACTATCTTGTTTTATTCAGTAGGTACATTTGAATATCACTTCTCTGCATCTGTTTGACAGCATTTCATTCCTTAGAGAACGTCCTTGCTTTTCTTGTACAGCATTGTGTTCTAGGCTTATCTTCAGCTTTTCCTGCCCAGCCCTGGGGTTGGCCGTCTTCCCAAACATTCCAGATTCATTTAGTAGACAGTATTTCTAAGATCTCAGCTTTAGATTTGCTCATTACTTTTGGAGCACCACTGATTTCAAGTCCATTTAAAGTAGACAGCTAGTGTGTTTGTGTGCATGTGTGCGCAGGCCACAGTGCATGTGTGGTGGACAGAAGACAACTTTATGGAATCAGGTCTCTCTCTAGCCGCTGTTCCAGGGGTTGAACTCAGATCGCCATGACAGTCACTTTTATCTGCTGAGCCACTTTCCTGGACCTATTTAGATCATCTTCATACTGTCACTCCATCCTCAACACTTTTCAGCTGCTTGGCCTTTGACTCTCCATTTTAAATATTTATTATTTTTATTTTATGTGTATGAGTGTTTTGCCCACATGTGTATAAGTATATCTGTGTCATGCAATGCCCGAAGAGGTCAGAAGAGGGTCTTGGATCCCCTGGAACTGGAGTTACAGCCAGTTGTTAGTTGCCATGTGGGTGCTGGGAATCGAACCCAGGTCCCCTGCTAGAGCAGCCAGTGGTCTTAACTGCTGAGCTATCTTTCCAACCCCTGACTCTCCATTTTAATTATGACCTTTTGTGATAAATATTGTATGTTCATATTTAAGAATAAATGATTAAGCTATATATGGTAGCTCTGGCCTATAATCCTTGCACTCAGGAGATGGAGGATGGTAGATCAGGAGTTCAAAGTCAGCTTTGGCTATGTAGCAAGTTCTGGGCTACATGAAACTCCCATCTCAAGAAACAAAAGCAAAATGAAGTATCTTGGATTCACTGAGGACTTTTTTAAAAAATCTTTTTGAAACAGGGTGTCTCTGAAGCCCCTGCTGGCCTGGAACTCACTATGTAGACCAGGCTGGCTTTGAACTCACAGAGATCTGCCTGCCTCTGCCTCCCAAGTGCTGGGACTACAGGCATGCGCCACCACACCTGGCTGAGGACTCTTTATATGGGTAGAATATAGAGATTTATTTTGGAATTAGTGGATTAGAAGTTGCCCACTACTCTGGGTAACTTGTAAATTTCTTGGCTGTTACTGTTCTGAGAAACCAGCATTTTTTCATATTACTTTTGCTATATGTTACTTGTTTGTTTAAATTGTTTTTTGTTTCTGTTTTTATGGATTAGGCCTCTAGTATTTTGCCTTGGGGAGAAAAACTGTCTGGTTATTTAACATTTTGTATTAGGGAAATACTGTGGCTGATAATGGATTTGTACTCTTCTATGCAGATTTGAATGCTCTTATTTTCCTTTTACATGGGTCTGCCTTTCTGGCCTTAGGTTATGCAAAACAATTTAGTATTTCAGGCGGTAGCTTCCTTAAGTGTGTAAAACTTTTTCTTAGCTTTATTAGTTGTGTCGGTTCTCTTACCATAGCATGGGATGTGTTCACCTGTAGATGGAAATTCTGCTGAAGAGTTATTTACAAACTTTAAAAAATGATATCACTTGAAGGACTATTTGATAAATGCAGTCAGTATTTCTCTTTCTTCTCTTCCACCTTAATTCCATCTACTGTTTTTCTTTTCTCAAATAGTAGCAGATTTGAGCACCGCTTCTTGTTACTACTTTTGTTCTTTTTGAGGCACATCTCCCTGGTGCAGCAGTGCGACTAGAATTTACTGTATAGAACTGGCTGGCCTCAGTCTTACAGTAATCTGCCTGCCTCTGCTTCCCTAATTCTGGGATTACAGATGTGCACCACTGTGCCGGACAACTGTTAATTTTTGAGACAGAATTTTACTTTGTAGCCCAGACTGGCCTCAAAATCATGATCCTTTTGTCTCAGCCTCCTGAGTGGTAGGATTCTAGACTTGTGTCACCATGCCTCTGTGTGTGTTAGGGATGGATTTAGGACTTCTGCAGATAACTAGATACTCTACAACTGAGCTACACTCCTAGCCTTTCGTTTTTGTTTTTAAGACAAAACCACAGAAAGAAGGTCAGAATCCATTTATCCTGTACCTATTTGAAAATCGTGCACAGTGCGTGATTCGATTAAATTGAAATTACTGTAAATGGACTATCTCTGTACCTTTGGTTCTGACCAACAGCATTAGGTATCTTGGCTTTAGTCACAGCCTGCATTTAAACGAGGTTCCACAGATGACTTGGCTATACTTAGTGTTTGAGAAGTGCTGATCTAGGCTAGTCAAGATTTAACCTTGGCTGAGAGATGCTTCAATTGCAAAAGTGCAGGGTTTCAGAGTCTCTGAACAGAATTAATGTTTTGTGAGAAAGGAAGGGGTTGAGGGATTACTGCTGAAGTGTCTGTCATACCTTTTCTTTATTTCTTTGGTTCAAGTATGTATGTATTTTCTTTTATTTTTCTTTCATGCTTGTAGGAGGAAGAAAAGATAATGAGATACAGCTGGTCTACCATACTGTATTGGAAATTGGTTACTGCCTTTTCAAAGCCAGCTTTATAAAATATTGTACATATATGATGCCTTTAATTTGAAATCCTCCAGAGAATAAAAAGCAGATGCTGATCTTTGTTTCAGTATTGTTTTTTCTTTTGTTCTGTAATAGTGTTCACAAAACTTACTAGCTTAATGGAGTGTGTCTAGCTGTTTCTCTGGTTTTGCGTCTTCGCAAAGTATTAGCTGGGTTGGTCCTCTTTAAGGTTGCAGTGAAGGTGCTGAACTTGAGTTGGGTTCTTCTGGGGAAGGATCTGTGTCCAAACTCAGGTCATTGCATGCTTATGGCCCACCCTCCTACAGAGTACAAACTTGTGTCTTCACAGTGAGAAGCAGCATGGCCATTACAGAATTATGTACATGTACAACCCAGTCTCTTTATCTTACATTGGTTACAAGTCAGTCATAGGTCACACTCAAGAAGGAATTCTACAAAGATGGCAATACAAAGGTGGCTTTATGTGGAGATCATGGGGGGACCACCTCAGGTATGCCACAAAGGGTATGTGCCGGACTGTAAGAACATAAAGATGTAATGAGTATGCATAGTATTTCATTCGAGGCTCCCATTTAAAACTTATACTGTACTGTGTTCTGTGCTGAGATGACTAAGAAGTTTGCTGATTGACCAAAGATTTAAAATCATGGAGACAAGCTTTGTGATGTCTTTGTAGTAGTAATCTTGCTACCCAAATTCTGTAGTTTACAGCTTGTTTATGTAGTTTATAGTATTTTTGTGAGTTCAACAGTAGACATTTATTTTCTTTTTTTTTTTTAGTTGACTATATTGTGGAATATGACTATGATGCTATACATGATGATGAATTGACGATTCGAGTTGGAGAAATCATCAGGAATGTGAAAAAGCTCCAGGAAGAAGGCTGGCTAGAAGGAGAGCTAAATGGGAGGAGAGGAATGTTCCCCGATAACTTTGTTAAGGTATTCAGCTCACTTTCTTGTTTTTTGCTTCTTAGGACTAATTTTTTAAATGTCAAGAAATATATTTATGTATATTTAAAATGAAAATATTTTAAAACCTTTTTACTCGACATTTAAGAACATTCAAGTACAGATACATCTATAACAGGTTTCATCATTGACTGGAAGCCTGTTGTACAGTAACGCTAGATCTGTGTGTCTCAGTGCTTGTCTATGATTGTATGTGTATATCTACCTGTCTAGTTTTCCTTTTTAAAATAAATAATAGTATTCAGTTGGGGGTTTACTATGTAATTAATGAAGCTCTGAGCTGATGTCTGGAAATTGCTTCACAGGTCTTCCATAGGTATTTTGTTGCTTTCCTAGCTCTGCTCAGAATATATTAGACCATGCTTTGAGTCATAGAGCTAAAGAGTATTAACTATTTCTAAACATTCTTTTTTAGTTTAGGAAAACAGTCTTCAAGACAGTTGAACTTGCTGCACAGCAATAAAATTCTCAGTGGTTAGAAAGGAAGAAAAAGAGTATCATCCGTGTATGTGTCTTACAGTGGTCTTAATTTTCTCTATTTTAATTTTCTTATAGCTGGCCTCATCAGATAATGATTACAAGTTTGGGGAAGAATAGACTGTAGGTCTCATTTGCTTTTTCAGCTTATATAGCTGTACTTTGCAGAACCCTTGCACAGGATGCATGCTTAGTTAGTATTTGTTTTCTGAATAATTTGTATTTATTGTAGTTGTAGTTTCATCTCCAGGTAAGAACACACACACTTAGTTCTGTCAATTTCAGAGAAGATAAAGTAACTGCATTAATCTAACTACATTTTTTTTTTTCCTCTTGGAGCAGTGAGAAAAGCTATAATTGAATTTTTGGGAAAAGATCACTTTTAATTAATTAATTTTGTTTCTACATTGACTTAAAAAAAATCTATATTGGGGCTGAAGAGATGGGCTCAGCTGTGAAGAGCACTAGCTGTTCTCCCAGAGGACCCATATGGTGGCTCACAGCTGTCTGTATGTAACTCCATTTCCAAGGGCTCCAGTACCCTCTCTGACTCTATAAGCACCTGGCACCCATGTGGTTTATATACATACATGCAGGCAAAACATGTAGACACATAGAGTGAAAATAAATAAATCTTAAAAAAATAACCTTCATGGAGTGTAATGCAGATGCCACAGAAATTGGAAACAGAATAGGTTTTAAATAAATCTAATTTTCAGCTTTACTGAATTTAGTGATATGTCTGCTAATAGAGAATATAGTTTATAAACATGCTAGGTTGTAGAGAGAAGCTTAACCTGGGATTAAAAATTAACCATAGAGTACTAGATTAGAGTCTGAGACAGCATTATGAACTCATGTTTAGTTTAAACAGGTTTGGCTGGTGAGATGGCTTAGTGAGTAAAGTCACCTTCCATGAAGTCTGATGACCTGAGTTCAATTTCTGCAATTGTCCTGTGACCTCCACATGCGCTGAGGCAAGCAAGCTCCTGCCCTCCCTCACATATGTGTACCTAAAATACATACATACATACATACATACATACATACATA